CTCAAGGGCACTAAAGTAGGTGGAAACTCTCAAAAGATCATGCATTGCCTTATTCCACTTACATAACTAAAGGTACATAAAATGTACCCATTGGGGGAAATGGATGAAGGGTACCTGGCACCTCTCTGCACTATCTTTGCAACTTCCTGTGAGTCTGTAATTATTTCAAAATAATAAGTTTAGAATCTGTAATTATGTCAAAATTAAAAGGTTTTATTTTTTAAAGCGCTGTAGTAAAGAACTTGTGTTTCATCGGAAAACTGCATTGTCTACATACAGCACACCGTCCCCAGTTACCTGATTCTACTCTTTCATTGTCTTTGAACCATTTTTACAACTTTGAAAGGTTAGATAACTGAGAGATGTGCAAACCGTCCTGCCTGGTAGAGGTTCCCTTGCAGCCCTCACCCACATTCCTCATGGGAAAACCAGCTTACACACGAAAAAACCATTTACACATTCAATTCAACCTTCCTTTATTCCACGTCAAATTGTCCTTCGAATACTATGAGGGCATTGAGCAAGTTAAATAAAATCTTTAACATCTGTTCATTTTTATGTATGGGAGTCGTGACTTTACCTTTTCTGAAAACTCTCTCTCAAGAACATAAATCTGGTGACGTCACTCCCCAGCTTAACTGCTTCCTAGCTTCCCACTGCATTTAGAATGAATCCCAAACATTTCCCCAGATGGACAAGGCCCTGCCCAGCCAGGACCCAGTCTGCCTCTCAGGCCTCATCTCCTCACTCTGCCCCTTGCCAGGACACTCCAACCACTGGCCCTTCTTTCAGCTCCCTGAGAACATCAAGTCTGTTCCCACCTTATGGCTCGTACACCCGTTGTCCCTCGGCCTGGACTGCTCTTCTCATGGATGGCTCTTTTTAAGAGTAAACTGTCAGCTCAGTTGTTCCACCCTCAGAGAGATCTTCTCAAGCACTCTCTCAAAAGTAACATACCCATCCTATTTTTTTCATCATAATTATTTCTATCTGATATGATAACAGTGTTATTATGCATTATATATTATTTAACATATTTTAAATATTATTACATAAGCATAATGTATTTATTATATATATATATTTTTTTTTTTTTGGCGGTACGCGGGCCTCTCACTGTTGTGGCCTCTCCCGTTGCAGAGCACAGACTACGGACGCGCAGGCTCAGCGGCCATGGCTCACGGGCCCAGCCGCTCTGCAGCATGTGGGATCTTCCCAGACCGGGGCACGAACCTGTGTCCCCTGCATCAGCAGGCGGACTCTCAACCACTGCGCCACCAGGGAAGCCCTTTTTTTTTTTTATTTTTAATGTTCATGGGAGTATAGTTCATTTACAATGTTGTGTTAGTTTCAGGTGTACAGCAAAGTGAATCAGTTATACATAGACATATATCCACTCTTTTTTTAGATTCTTTTCCCATATAGGCCATTACAGAGTATTGAGTAGAATACCCTGTGCTATACAGTAGGTCCTTATTAGTTACCTATTTTATATATAGTAGTGTGTATATGTCAATCCCAGTCTCCCAATATATTTATTATATAAATATATTAATACTGTCCAGTTAGCTACTAGTTCATTTATCTGCCCACCCCAATTCTATAATAGTAGGATCTTGAAATTTGGCTCTGCTGTATCCTCAGTGCTTAGAAAGGTCCCTAGCAGACATAGTAGGCACTCAATATATATTTGTTGAGGAAATCCCTGGGTGAATGATGCTCGCAGAAGTAGTGAAGTTCCCACCACTGGAGGTATTTAAGCATGGTTTGTACAACCGCTTGACAGGGTCATAGAAAAGCCATGGGCATATGCTCAGTCACAAGAATAAAAGACCATTTTGGTCCTTTCTAGGACTATGAGCTTATGATTCCGTGGCCACCATGCCCTTTCTGCTATGCAAATGGAAAAAGCAAAGGAGTATTCCTCAGTCATTTTCCACCGAATGATAGTATGCACACCCCTGTTCCTGCTGCAATATCATCTCAGCATTAAAATGTTGAAGCTAATCAGACATTTAATTTCAAAGTGGAAGGTCATTATCTTGTCACAAAATTTTATTCCAATTACTTTTTTTTTCTATTATACGAAATGAATTAAAAGTAGCACAAAACATTGGGAGATCAAACAGTCAATCAGAAGCTCATTAAATATCACTGAAATTGGTGCAATAAAAAGCATTTCCCATGGCTGACTTATTATTTAAAAGCTATATTCTGGATGGCTTCGAGGAATTGACATGCTGCCAATCAAAAAATCACCCTATCCATAAATAGGCACTTGGCTTTTAAAAGTTCACTATCTTTTTTTTTTGAAATAAGAGTAAATACCTAAAAAGATTTAAAGCACGGGTGTAATTACGATCCTGTCAGCCCCTATGAGACCCTAAAGAGGAGATATCATCTGGTAATTTGGAGTATTATTTACAGCAAGATGCTTACAAAGTGCTGCCAATGATTTTATAAACACTTCAATACATTACATTCATGTACGATACTCAACTAAGTACAATCCCAGCCAGGGTATAGTGGTCAGTTACAATTTTAAAATTGAGCCCAATTCCACACTTGGAGTAAATGTCCATTTTATTTTCTAAAGAGTGAATATTAAGCACTTCATTTTGCTATGGACCCAGACATAGGTGACTGCTAGCGTGAGGATCTAAAAGCTGGTCATTTTAAAAATTCTAATATTTTTCCTCTAGGACCTCTTTTTATTTTTTTAGCCAAATCACTAATTTTACCATTCTGTTTTATAGAAACATCCATTTTTGGCATACAGGATGGCCAGGTCCTTTTCGTTGGTAAAATATAACAACAGAAGTACTGTTCCCAGTCTCTTAAGGTGCTTAAGTGGTGAGGATGATACAAATGAAAAATACATAAGCAGAAGAGAAAGCTCCCAGGTATAGGAAATTACTTCTTCAGCAGAAGGACTGAAGAATTTCTCCCCTCTAACCCCTTCCCCCTCACCACACACACACACTGCCACCACCCAATTTCTTTTCAAAAGCCAGGACTTATTGACAAATTATCTGGGAGTAAAGTGGGAGGGAAACATTTCAATGCAAAATTCAGAACTGCTTTATAGAAAGAAAAGCTTGGGGAGGTTTGTTATCATTTGTTTCCTCCAGTATATCATTCAATTTCAGCTGTCTCACGTCTCAGAAGAAGCTTCCCCATTTCTCACTCATGTGCCTAAGAAACATCTCCCTGGCATCTCATTCTTTCTCCCTGTCTCTCACCAGCATTTCATTATTTCTTAACTGTCCCTCTCATGCTTGTCTCCCTTTTTCTTAGTGATCCACGTGTCCTCATTTAGCAGTTTTCAGAAGCCAGGGAGAAACGTTGCAAATAATGTTAAATATGATTAATATCTTGAATTCCTTGAAATATGACATGCATGAGTTACAATGAAACCTCTTTTATTTCCCCATGAAATGTTTTTGCATAATGAGAAAGAAAATGTCCTCTATGCCCTAATCAGCCCTGACAGTTCCTGGACTCCCAAATACTTTTATTTATGGCATTATTTATTTCATCTCTAATAAATGGAGGGGGGGCAGAAACCACAGCATGATCTGAGGAGGCTGCAGAGAGGGAGACTATCTAGGGTGGAGAAACACAGAAGCTGATCCTGCAAAGAGAGAGATGGCTTCCAAAGGAAGGGAGGTCTGGCAAATGAGAGGCCAAGGTCCTGAACCCTCAGAAGAAAATAGGTCACCTTCCCAAGTCTAAAAGGAAAGCTCTGAAAAGGAACCTAACTTCAGAGTGGAGAGATGACGGTCACACATCCAGGAGGAGATGTACCCAGAATTCTAACCTGGAGAGCGAAGATTGAAGGCTGAAAAGCAAACCAGGGAAGGGAGTATGCTGGTATTGGAGCTGACCTAGGGGAGGGGTGATTTGCTCCCAAAAGTGCCTGGGAGAAGCGACGACAGTCCTCTAGATCTGAAGACATCTCTAGCTCATGGGATCCTCCTCCAGACCACAGAGGCTCTTCCCTCATTCAAACAACTACTGAAATTGTGTGTCCTCCAGAAACCCTGGCCGTGTGACCCCAGGTGCAGTGAGGAGCTGCCTGGGCAACGCAGGGAGCAAGAGCTTTCGGCACATCTTGATGCTACAAGCACTTACAAATAAATATATACCAAATGACATTGTTGCGAGTATCTAGTCACCGTCCCAAAAGGAGGTATCAGGTCATATTTTTTTCCCTCAATTGCACAGAGTCTATGTAATACGAGAAATGTGAATTTGAATATCTGAGTACATCTGTGCAACTCAGCCACACACTCTTGAGTGTCTGACTTTGGGTAATTTCCTCCAAGAGCCTCGGTTTTCTCATCTGTGGAATGGGGACACCAATTCTGTTACGCCCTCTCAGGGGCCCTGTAGGGAACTAACTGAAATAACGTGAAAGCCCGATGCTTTGTGTGCTCTTAGGACAACATAAGCTCGAAGGCCAGGCGCTGGGTATAGACAGAAACCCCTTCTGAAGATGTTCCTTTCAGAAGGCTGGGGGAGCAATTCCCCATCAGCAGAAGAACGGGTTGTAATATCTTCCCAAGGCGCACATGCACTCTAGCTACCGCCCCACCCCTACTACTACCAGCCCCTCAGGGCAACCCCGAGAGTTCGGGGTCAAGCAGGCGGCGCCAAGAGCTCTTTCCTAAAACTGAACCCCGCCCACAGCAGCAGGAGCCTCAAGTGCAAGTCTGGGGCTCCGAAGTCTCGTCCCGGCCGGAACCTCGCGCTGTTACCAGGGGACCCTCCTGGTCCCGGCTCATTCCTTCCCTTCCCCCGTCGGAGGCGCACACCCGGCTGGGCGACCACGCGGGCGGCAGCGGCGGCGCCAGGCCCCGCCCCCGCCCCCATTATCATTAGCAGATATAACCCTAAACACTTGCTCTTTACCTCCTTTCTCCCTCCAGGCATTGGTGAGGCAGCCTGTCAATCAGCGCTCGGGCGGCAGCCCCCCGCGCAGGGGCTCGGCGATGCCAGCCTTCGCGACAGGCGGCAGTGGTGGCGGCGGCGGCGACGACGGCGGCCACGGCACAGACAGCCACCCTTCCACGCGCGCGCACTCGGGCAGAGCCGTTGGGCGGGCGGCAGAGGCACCCTCGGAGCCAGGCGCCGGGCGCGGAGGGGGCGTGCGACCCGGGACCTGCCCAGAGGCGCAGAATGGAGGAGGAGATGCAGCCGGCGGAAGAGGGGCCCAGCGTCCCCAAAATCTACAAGCAGCGCAGCCCCTACAGCGTCCTCAAGACATTCCCCAGCAAGAGACCGACGCTGGCCAAGCGGTACGAGCGACCCACCCTGGTGGAGCTGCCGCACGTGCGGCCGCCCCCGCCAGCCTTCGCGCCGCAAGCCGCGGTCTCCATCAGCAGCAGCGAGCCGCCGCCGCCACCGCAGCAGTTCCAAGCGCAGAGCTCTTACCCACCCGGGCCCGGCCGGGCCGCCGCCGCCGCCTCGTCGTCGTCTCCGTCCTGCACGCCCGCCACGTCCCAGGGCCACCTGAGGACCCCAGCGCCGCCGCCCGCGGCCCCCGCCGCGTCGTCGTCCTCATCTTTCGCCGCCGTCGTCAGGTACGGCTCGGGCCCGGCGGCAGCCGCCGCGGGCAGCAGCAGCGCGGGCGGCAACGGCGCCAGCCTGGAGCTCAGCGCAGGTACCAACTCTCGGGAGCAACTTTCCGTCCCGCCACGGGTTGGGGGAGGGGTAGGACCCGGGAAAGAGAAAGCGGGGACCGAGGACAGCCTCCCGCGCGCCTTGCCCAGCGGGGTGGGTGGGGGGTGGGAGGGGAGAGCGGGAGGCTCCCAGAGCCGGCTGAGGGAGCGTCGGGGCGTCCGAGCGCAGCCCCAAGGCCTCTACGCGCCGGCAGCAACTTCTGGAGGTTCACCGCCGCCGCGTCCGGGGCTTCCGATGGCGCGCGCGCCTCTTAACAGGTGGCTCCGCCGCTAGCGTCCCGCTCGGCGCCCGGGCAGGGGCGATCGGCGGGGCGGGGGCGGCGCGCAGGCGGGGAGTGGGGGCGGGACACCGTGGGGTGACAGCGGCGGCGGCGCGGGGAGAAGCGGGCGCTACTCTGGCGGTTCTCGGGGACGCCCTCCCTTTTCCCTCCGCTGCTTCACTTTCTCCTTCTGCTTCTTCCCTTTATCTGCCTCTCTCCTCCATTTGTTCTTCCTTCTCTTTTTCCCTTCTCATTTGCCCTCTGGTTCTCTTTTTCTCGCTCACTCTGTCGCGGTCACGCGGCTGGCCCTAGGGCTGCTTTCCTGCTTTTTCCTGGCGAGCGCGCGCTGTCTCTGCCTCTCCCTGGCCCCCTTTACCCGGCCACCCCAGAGTCCCCGCCGGTGTGTGCAGGACGCGAGGCTCCTCTGCAGCAGCCGCGCGGTTGGAACTGGCGCTCGCCCCGGCGGCCGCGACTTAAGGGACGGAGACCTCCCGCCCCTCCCCCCCAGCCCCGGGAACCCCGGGCGCTCTGGGCCCCGCCGGGTGGGCGCTGCTGCACCGCGGGGTCCCAGACCCCTTAGAAATGACTGCCTTTCGGGGAGCATCCACCCCAGGGTACGCGACTCCTGAGAAAAGCCGGCTCTCCAGCCCAGCGGCGGAGAGGGCGACGGGCTGGTGGAGAGGTCACAGCCTGGGGCCTGCGCCCAAGTGTGCTCTCTGCTCCCCTTGGACTCGCAGCCCCGTGTATCCCGCCGCTCAGAACGAAAAGTTCCTGCTGAGGCCTTGTATGGCACTTTGGAGCCCCCCAAATCCTGCATATCAGTGAATCCACGGCTTCCTTTTTTCCTAATGAAAATAGGAGCATTGTCTTGAAATGCGTTATAGATGCCTAAGCTCATGTTCTGTTGTTTGTCAGTATTTTGACACAGGAAGGATTGGTTTTGAGAAAGAAAACCTAATTACAGGTTATAGTGAAGACTTGCTCTGTCACATCCCTCACTGGCTGGGAGATGTTGGCGAGGTTTTTATGTGGATGTCCTTATTGTTTGTGAGGTGTGGTTTTTTTCCCTGTATTTTAATTCCGCTGTGCTTCTATGTTCACTGTGAGGCTAGCCTACTTTCACTTTCCTCATTTTTCTTCTGTTTTCCCCCCTTCTTAGTGAGGTTTGTGTGCTCTCTGGGCTTGGGGTCTGGTTTTCTTATATACTACTTCTTGTTCACTCCTTGTTTATTTCCCGGCTCTGCTTTATCTTCCTTTATCTTTACATTGTTCAGAAGTTTGGGTCCTTTTTTCCACATTCTATATTTTGCTTACTCCTTTGCACAGCCTCAGTGCCACCATGTTCATTGGGGTTTTCCCCCCTCTTTATCTGCCCAGTTCAGTCTTTAATCTCATCCTGCTTTCTCCTTTCAGTCTTTGCGGACTGTCTTTCTTTCTGTCTTCTACTTTTTTCCATACAGTATAAATCTGCCCCTTCTCATTTCCATTTTCATCCATAGTTTTAACCTTGCCTTTCCCTGCTATTTTTCCTATATTTCTTTTTTCTGCGCCAGTCACTTGCTATCCTTTCCATGGTGCCTTCTACTCTGGCAGTTGCCCCACTCTTTTATCCATAAGGAGTTTTTGCTGTTGTTGTTTCCTTCTTACCTTGTTCTGAATGTCCTCTTTTTCAGTGTTTCTTCTAACGTCCTGTTTAGTTTGTCTCTGTCCGCAGGTGGAAATCATATCACTGAATCTAAAGGAGTGGAAAGGGGCTTTTTGATGTCCCTCCAACTCCCTGTGTTTCTTATTTCCTTTTATTTTCAGTGCTGCTGCTGCCTTTTTTTTTTTTTTTAAGAGAGGTCATAGAGAGGTAGGCTAGATAGCCCCAAGACAGGATGCCATGTACTTGTTGGAAAGATGGGAATTGAATGGTAGTTTTCTGCCATGCAGTGAGAAAAATGGTCAGGGGCAAAAAAAAAAAAAAAGACCATAGTACTAGACATCATGAATTGTGGTCATACTATTAATCATTGGGGGACAAAGCCATCTCTTAACAGGCACAGTGATGTGAGTGGCCATCAGAGGGACAGTCACCTGAAGAGCTGATTGGCTCTTTGAGGAACTAGTGGTTCCACTTTGAACCAATAAGCATGAGTGTACAGACAGCCATCCTAGCACACTGGGTGGGGTAGGGGTAGGGGTGGTGATTTGCTTGTTGCACCCTCACAACAGTGGTACTGCAGGGTCTCAGGCTACCTCGTAAACTGAAAATCAAAATGTCGATGAGATGAAATGAGTCAAGGATGGAAGAGAGATAACTGAGTGTCCAGAGAAAATGCAGTGAAAAGATGAAAGGGTTGAAGTGAACCTTATTTGCCATTAAGGGCCATAAACCACTGAGAGGAGAAATACATGATTAAAATAGATTTTTCAACATTCTTGTAAAATCTCCTGAAGAGTATAATTTTCCTTAAAAGCGGTAATATGCCGTGGTTCTAAAAGCCTATTTTTCCTCTGTGGGAGGCTTAGAGTTAAAACCCACGTAGATCTTGATATGCAGCCTAAATTTGGCATCAGGAAATGGGAAATTGCATCTTTAAGCAGAGTACAATCAAAAATGAATTACAATAAATCCTATATAATTGCATAGGTCATTCTCTTTAATGAGATTTTATTAACCTGACTGTCAAGCTTTTGAGGCAGGCAGATATTTTATCTTCTTCAACTGATAAAAGTGTCAGCTATAAACCACCATATAAATATTCATAAATCTACACATCTGCGGCAGCCTATCAGCATCATTCTTTTGGACATTAAAAGCATTCTAATTACTTTCTGTCTAGCAGAGCTGAAATGCTGCCTGTTATAGTATGTGCTTGGCAGGCATGATTGCTTTTGTTTGCCATCACGAATAGCAGCATCCTATTTTATATACCGATGGTCCAGAAAATATTCAGGGATTGACTGAGCAGGATGGATATTAGGAAGCACCATCTGGTTTTGATAGCACTGAGTATATTAACTCATCTGTTAATTTTTGACACATCACTGATTTATTTATTTAGAAAAATTGCATCCTGTTTTGCTGTGTTGATATTTGCCATTAGGGAAAAAAAAATTGGATGGCATTTTTTTTGAAAGACATACAGTAGTTCATTGATTTAAGACAGGGGTGATGCTTCCAAAGATGCTTTCATTTTCTAACTTCTATTTTCTATGCCACGAAGTCCTCTCATAAAAAGAAGTTATATTAATGTTTTAAGGAAATTATCTATTTTGAACTAGTTGCAAATCCTTTGATAGATGTAATATATGGATACAGGGTCGTATAGGTCACAAAAATGTTTTTTCTGCCTCTGCATTTTTAGTATTAATATATTTCACCCTTTGTGGGCTAAAATCAAAAGATTACCACTAATCTTGACTACTGTGATCTCCTTCATAGAAACAGAATACTCTTGGGGATCTGCTGTGATGGGCAAATTCCATTCAAGGCTTTACTTACAAAGAAGGATGTTAAAGTAAGGAGCCTGTGTTTTCTTGCTGAATTCCCATCCCTCTTCTTCACTTATCAGATTTAGGATGGATTAAACCACTTAAATTCTGAAGAAATTCTAGAAATGAAGTTTTTAATTACAAAAATAACATGGGTTCGGATTCTGGAATCAGACTGGGCACAATTTGCAACATGATATTAGATCCCGACAGATTGCACAATAAAGCAAAATAAATGAGAGAGATGTGGTCATTTTAGAGTGCTTTGTGATTGTGATTTATTAACATTTTACGGTGTTTAATTTTAAAGAAGTTAGGGATAAACTAGGTTGTTTTAAATCCTCTCTATAAACTGTTGACTTTGTACTTCCTTGCCATCACTTGACTGGAACATTCTGTGCCTAGCGGGGGAAGAGAGTTTAAAAATTTCAAAATACATGTTCACACTTTGCTCAGTTAAGAATCGTGGATCAGTGGCCATTCAGTCGTGTTCATATGAAAACAGAACTTTTCTCCATTTCTTAGCAATAATGGGCATCGCACAGTACTTGTGTTCTAATTATATTCTGTATGGAAAGCTGAAGCACTGCTGGCTGCAATGTGTGTTAAGTGTAAAGATTTGCCATTTCCCACCAAGTATAATAGTAGTATTTTTCATCATACTCTTCAATGTATTGACATAAAATACTATTCAAATATAAGGTAGTGAAAAGAAGAGAATACAGCTTTAGGGCTACAGTTGGCATTTTTACATATATTCGTTCTGAGAACAAATTCAGAATGAAGCATTTGAAAAAACTGCAGGCAAGAACCGTTTTATGATTGTAACTATTCTCTGATATTCTGAGTGCACTTTAGTACATTATCTTCATAATGTAGTATATTACATAATGATTTTTTTCTCAGCATATTACGAGTTTATCCTTCAGTTAAGAAAACAAATCATGCTTGTCTCTACATCAGATTTTTTTTCCCTTAAAATCTATACCCTAACGTGATTTATCAACATGATTAAAACAACTGAGCTCCTTAGGACATTGGACAGATACATTCGAGCAGTTCTTTCTAGGCAATTCTGTTTTAGCCTTTCCTTTCATATTTTGTTCCTTTCATCAAGGTTATGTTATAGGTGTATAGGCTGTAAATCACTTGGGACTATTCTGATTAAAATGCAAACAGTAAATACAACTTTAGATCTAGAATGGGATTATAGGATTAAATGAATGAAAACTGCTGGTGTGTTAGAATTGAGAGTCGCCAATCAATATTGTCCTTTGATTTTACTAATAAAAGAACAAAAAGCCAGGAGTAAAGAAATGAGAATGCAGCATCTTAAACCTTCCCACTTGTATGGTTCAACTGTTTACTTTCTCGTTTATTCGGTTTTGGTCATTGTAAGATATAACACCCAACTCTTTGAAGTCTTTCTCCATTAAGTTTTGGTTCAAATCATGAGCTCAGCTATTCTTTTCCACCTGGCTGGGGGCAGAGTCATCATCACTTCCAGTGTTCGGTGTGCGAAATATCCTTCCCATATCCACATCCCTTTTTCTCCAAGGCAGCAAGCCGACTTTATCTTGGCCGCTACTTCAGCCAAGTTCCCAGCCCATCTATCAGCTCTAGCCTAAAACTATACCTGGCATCTAGTTCTTTCTTTAGTACTCAAAATAATCGTGTAAAAAATAGGCCTGTGCCTAATATTTGTGGGATTCAGGGTAAGGGTACAAACGCTGTAAACTAAGATACTCTATTTATTTATAAGAGTCCCCACATGTATTCAGTAAATATTTCTAGAGATTCTGTGCTGGCCCTCAAACCCCAGTCCACTCATGGAATATACAGTCTATAAATCTCTCCTGAACTGAAAAGAACTGGCCTCTGTGTTCTGACTTGTCAGTTTTCCTGAGAGATTTAGGAATGGGAGCATTTTATAGATTTGGGAGATATGAGAGGTGCTTGCTCTATGCTCTGGGCTTTATGTATATTCTTATTAAATAAGTGAAATAGGAGACTTGTACCCCCTTCCCCTGATATCTTAGTTACTTCAGGAAGAATAGTAAGAAAAAACAAAGTAGGGGCTGAAGTACCACCTGGAGGTTTCTGAAGGTTGGTTTGCTGGTCATCATCCTGGGTTTTCTAGAGAAATCAGTTTCTTAATCACAGCTATTTAGTTTGTTGTCCCCATAGAAGCCCTCAAGCATCTCACCACTTTTCACTTTTCAAGGTTATTTTTTTCCCCTCAGAAAAAAATACAGCTAGTCAACATTTCCAGAGACAGCAAGTGACTCGTTACATTTCTGTCATAAACAACGGATATCGGCATCTAGAACCTACAATATTTTGTTTGTTACCATTATTCCGCGTAGGGTGGGAGAGGAAATGAGAGGTACCCTGATAGCTCTATATAAGCCCTGAAAAAGTTATCTGTCTCTCTGTGGGTATTTATTGATATAAATAGCACGTTCTGGGTGGTGGTCCAGAAAGAAAACAGTGTTCTTGTGACGGTTACATTGAGGGTGAATTTTCAAGCCCCTTAGAGTGACGACATTAAATCACATTTTCAGGACATTGGGTTTTTCTTTCTTTCTTTTTGAAGTGAACTGATTGTTTTCTGTTTGCTTTTTGCTTTCCACTGATTGACAGTTAATATGCTTTAGAATACACTTGTGGAAACTAACTGGCACCCTCAGCACATACCATTTAAGAGATTTGGTGGGAGAAGCCCTGAGAAGAGGCACTATTGCTTTTCAGATGCTGCTGCTATAGATCAAGCTAAACGTTGGCCTTGACAAGAAATCTAAGTTAGCAGATAAAGTAAAAGAATGGTGAGCACAGATGTTGGATGACACAGGCTTGCTTTGGGGCTCCTCATCATTTGCCTTGTAGGCCCACTCTTTATTTTACCTTAGACGTTTAGTGAGCTCTTCGGAAAGACTCATCGTTCTTCTCCATTTTGCATCTGGGAGCAACGTACTCTCAGCAGGGATTGTATCAGCTGATTAATAGCAAGGGCATGAGGGCACTCCAGAAATAGACGTAATGATTGCTGTAAGCCCTCCTGTCAATGAGGAGTTGAGTCTGCAGGGCTGGCTCGATTCATTAGAGTAAGGATATTAATGAAGCCAAAGGTGTGAGTTCAGACCTGTGCAGGCCGGTTAATAACCACGGAGAGGGAGTCTCTATCCGGTGCCCCCGTCTCACAGTCCAGCCATTTCCCAGAGTCAAGTTAGGGGTGGCTCATCAGGCACCCCACCAGTCACAGAGCAGCCGGAAGCCATGCATCCTATTAGAAGTGGATGCACCAGGTCACCTGTGTGTGTAGCAGGGAGAAGTCCATGTTTTTGACATTTTTTAATGTTAAACTCTAGATCGAGGACCTTACTTGTCCCTTGTCTTGGCTGGCAGTCTCTGACGTGTCTTCTCTTGTATTTCAGAGAGTCGTATGATCTTGGACGCCTTTGCTCAACAATGCAGCCGAGTCCTTAGCCTCTTAAATTGTGGAGGAAAGCTTCTGGACTCCAGCCATTCTCAATCCCTGATTTCTTGCGTAAAGCAGGAAGGCTCAAGTTACACTGAAAGACAGGAGCAGTGCCCTGTTGGCAAAGGGGTCCACAGTCAGACCTCAGACAGTGTAGACATAGAGATGCAATATATGCAAAGGAAACAACAGACTTCTGCCTTCTTGAGGGTTTTCACTGACTCCCTACAAAATTACCTGCTCTCCGGGAGCTTTCCGACTGCAAACACCTCCTCGGTCAGTGAGTATGGCCACCTGGCGGACGTGGATCCTCTAGCAACATCCCCCGTGCACACACTAGGTGGCTGGACCTCCCCAGCGACATCCGAATCCCACGGTCACCCATCCTCTTCTACACTGCCTGAGGAAGAAGAGGAGGAGGAAGAGGAGGGCTACTGTCCTCGGTGCCAAGAGCTGGAGCAGGAGGTGGTGTCACTGCAACAAGAAAATGAAGAGCTCAGAAGAAAGTTAGAGAGCATCCCAGGTACCCTGCCCTGTTCCTTGCAAGCCACCTGCAACTCATTCCTTTCCAGTGTCCCATCTGCATGTATGTATGCACGTGTGCGTGTATGTGTGGCTTTTTGTTGTTGTTTGGGCCGGCGATGTAGAAGAGTTAGAAAAACAGGCATGCACAGTTTTAGCCTACCAGTGCCAAATGGAAATTTCAAGATGAGCCGCTAGCCTTGTCCTGTGTTTAAGCCACAGTCTTTTGGGGTGCAGGCCTGAAAACTATGGTCCAATTAAAAGATGTCTCCACTGATACAAAAGTGATTCCCAGATGTAGTGCAATGAGATTGAAATAGGCCAGGTTCTGTGAGCTTGAATTTTCTTCAAAAAGTGACCCTGTTCCTTTAAAATGGCTTTTGTATTTTTAAAGACTTTGATATATGTGTTTTATTAGTCCATGAGAGAAATTAAAATGAAATGATAACTACAGAGGCAGGGCTCAGAGAACAAATGGTCTCTTCTATTCCACTAACTTCTCCCCTTTCTTGTTAAGTTTCAATAGGCATGGTCTCTTTTTAGCATGCAAACTCCCCCTTAAAGTTAATATGCAACTGTAAACTAAAAGGAATATCTCAAAGACAGACCAGTTATTAAGCTGGTCGCAAACTAGTTGTGCTCCTGGCTAAACGCGAGGCATTGTACCGCCTCGCAGAGACACTAGATCTGCAGAGTAGTAAAGTCATCTTTATGGCAAGATCTTCTCAGGGTTGCAAAGCCATTTTTTCCCCTATTTGGAGAGCTCCTGATTTTGCCTATATCTTTGAGGTCATTCCTGCATGTCTGTGGCTTATAAAAGACATTAAGACCTTTTTAATCATGCAGCCCATTGATAAAAATTTTTGAGCGTGTATCTACCAATGTACACATTCATTGGTTATTTACATACCTATACTTGCATACTAATATGTTCAAAATAAAGCATACATAACATATTTAAAAGTTTTAAGGCTGAACCATAAATAGAAATAGAAATTACGGTCTTTTCCTAACTCGGTGTCTTTGCACCACCCAGTTTGGCAGCTGAGGTAAAAAGAAGGAAGTGTTGAAGAAAGTTACCCGTTTGCATATTAGAATTGCCAAATCAGAAATTTATTTTCCTTCTGTCCTTTCATTTAAGAGAATTGCCCAAATAGAGCTGAGGTTTGGCTCAGAACGTTTCGGAATTAGATTGAGTGCAGTTGTGGGAGAGAAGCAAGAGGTGAAGGAAATCCATTCTCTGTTGTTACATTTGAGCCCTGGGGTTAGATGCAGAGTCTTGGCGTTGTCCCTGCCAGGCCGGATCTGACTGCAGCAGAGAGACTGACTGGCAGGACCCAGAAGAATGCGGTGGAACCAGAGCGCTACTGGTTTCTCCAAGTCAAAGAGATATGGGTGCAGCTGACACGCTGGGATTTTACAACTTGCACAGTTTCATAAATTATGTGAACTATTGGTTTTACCGCCAAAAGGGTATGTTGCATCTTACTCCCCACTCCTCTTTCATTAGGGGAGAAGATAGTGTCCTGGAGATCAGCCAACTGCAGATCCTTGCATCAGCCATTCAGAGCTGTGGGGAAGAGTTTCAGAGTGCAAGGACAGGTGACACAAATGTCCAGAGTGTTATTGCCTAATTCCTAACCGTTAATATTTGGTGAGCCGTCTGTCCTTGGTAAACTTACCAAGCAAATTTGGGGTTCACTCCACCTCTTGTTTCCTAAATCCGTACAGATGAAATGTCTGTGTCAGGGATAACTCATTGCTGGCCTGCCACTAATCATTGTCCTTCTCTGCTTCCCAGAAAGACGAGAATGCTGCAATTTCTTGAGTCCTCTTGATGGTCAGACATTGAATGACAGTTGTTGAAATTAAGCTAATGATCACCACTGTTACTGTAAACATTCCACCACTGTTACTGTAAAGAGTCCCCTCCATGAACTTGAACCAATTCTATGTGGAGAGCCATGATTGCTTTAAGTAATCCATACTGAAATTCAACTATATAGAGGAGACTCAGTTTGTCAATTATGAATAGAAAAAAAATAGTGTGAAATGCAGGAAAGATTAGCCATTTGTGATTACTTAACTCCTGGATTCATTACCTAGGGATACCTTAGTATTGGGCGTCAGGTTGAAAGTGCCCCTTGAGATGAAAGACTTGAATCAAAGAGAGACATAACTGCCCTCTTGCCCTCCTCACCTCCCAACCTCCATCTTTGGCTAAACAGCAAACCAGCCTGTGGGTGATCACCCAGGAATCCACTCTGGCATTCTACGAGCTGTGCCTTTCGTGTGGGCAGGGCCGAGGGGGAATCTGTTACTTTTATCCATATGAAGAAAAGTACAGCAATAATACTCTGGTTTTGTACGTAACAAGAATATTTTGCAAGCGGTAACTTTCCTGTGAGATTTGGGATCGATTTTCCCTAAGCAGTATCCGTGCTTCCCAATGATCCCAGTAGGCCTCTGTTATCCTAGAGGCCATACATTTCCATGGAAGGACCTGGGGCTTTCTTCCTGTAGAATCTGCCCGTATGTTGTACGATCACTCTTCTTACAGCCGAGCAGGGTGGATGAGTACAAAGGGGAGAGGAGCGCGCAGCAGTTAGCGGAGGAAATAAGGTGAGCAAGGTGATGGGAGCACCTGCAGTGGGTCAGTTTGGGGGCAGTGTTCCTCAGGCACTTCCCTCTCTCTCCAGAGTCAGGCTGTTGAGCAACTCTGAGATTCCAGTTTCTTTCTTTTTTTTCCCCCCCCTTAAATAAAGCATTTATATCTGGGAGCAGTTCTTGAACTGAGAGTTCAAAAGAAATGAGCCTATTAGTCTACAGGAAAAAATGCTTTCACTTGGGAAGCTGTAAAAGGGGGAAAGGAAGGTGACAGCCCTCACCGAAAGGAGGGACCGGGGAGGGGTATTCTTTCTGGCACCACCCGAGAGGGCCTTTGTTTATTGTATTATTTGTGAAACATTCAACGAAGTCTTATTGATTATCAACTACAGGCAAACAAGGGGCTTCTAGAAAGTGCTGTCTAACTTACTTTCCAGAGTTATATGCAGATATATAGGCAATTAAATATTTTATCCCAGGAAATAGCATTAGCACATTTTCTTTTGCATTAGATTATCACACTAGAAAATAGAAAGTCTGTTTAAAAGTTTAAATTTTTTAAAAGAAAGTGAAAATAGGTTAAAAGAAGAAAAAGTCACAAAAGGAAGACATTTGGGTCAGGAATACAAAGAGCTGAGAGGTTATTAAAAGAAGAATGGTAGGGCTTCCCTGGTGGCGCAGTGGTTGAGAGTCCGCCTGCCGATGCAGAGGACACAGGTTCGTGCCCCGGTCCGGGAAGATCCCACATGCCGCGGAGCGGCTGGGCCCGTGAGCCATGGCCGCTGAGCCTGCGCGTCTGGAGCCTGTGCTTCGCAACGAGAGAGGCCACAACAGTGAGAGGCCCGCGTACCATTAAAAAAAAAAAAAAGAAGAAGAAGAATCTTGATGGGCAAACTTCTCTATGGAGAAGATGTCAGGTTAGAGTAGTCACATTTATTCAGAAAGCTTACAGTCAGCACTGGGTGAAGAGAACTCATAAGGGAGGGTGGGTATAAAATACCATATTTCATGTAATTTAAGCCCCCATTGAATGTAAGACACACCAATACTTTATGTTCCACTAAGGAAGAAGAAAAAACACTGCAAATCGTAATTGCACATTATAATTATCTTTGAACACCAAGTTCAGAGATTTAAAAATATGATAAAATGTGGGTGTTAGAAATATAAAATACTGTATGGTAATTAAAAAATCACTTCCAGGGCTCCCCTGGTGGCGCAGTGGTTGAGAGTCCGCCTGCCGATGCAGGGAACACGGGTTCGTGCCCCGGTCCGGGAAGATCCCACATGCCGCGGAGCGGCTGGGCCCGTGAGCCCATGGCCGCTAAGCCTGCGCGTCCGGAGCCTGTGCTCCGCAACGGGAGAGGCCACAACAGTGAGAGGCCCGCGTATCGCAAAAAAAAAAAAAAAAAAACCTTGAAGTTTTCTAAGTGCCAAATATAGAGAAGATACACTTATTGTGATATTAGTAAAGAACTTTCTACTTTCTAAAAAGTACATTTATGATCATCTCAATTTATCTTCATAACTCCAAACAAAAATTAATATTCCCATTTTACAGACAAAGAGGTTGCAACCTGGACAGGTAAAGTCTGTGGCAGACCTCAGATTAGAATCGAAGCCTCTTGACTCCAGAGCTAGTTTATTACCCTCTTCCACCCTCAAAATGTAGTCGATTCTCATTATTCACAGTCGTTCTATTCTGTAAGCTGTGAGCACTGAATCAGCAAGGCATTATTACTCTGAGGGGAAATACAGACTTCGGTTCCCGAGAGCCTCTGGTTGCAACATTTTCGTCAGCCAATCACAAAACGCCGTTTTAAGTATGTTTTTGTTTAACGAGCCCTTATTTAATATATAGTATTAGTTGGTTAACACTGAATTCACAGCCAGCAACGCTGTGACTCAAGCCTGAACAAAGCTTATCTAACAGCATTTTCCCCTTGAAGCACATCACAGCCTTGCGCTCAGGAACACTTAGACACCACTTCAACTCTCCGTTTGGGGCTCCTTTTAAACAGCGAAATCACCAAGCAGAAAAGGCACAAAAATGCAAAAACCATGGCACTAAACAGAACATGAAAAGAACCCTTGTTATCGTATGAGGGCTGAAACGAGCAGGCCAAGTGTTACCTTGTTCAACCTCAGCTGGGGGTGTGTGATTCCAGAAATTCAGATTTCTCAGTGACCAGCCAAAGTCCGCAGCAACCGCAAGAGCACCCCAAATACAGATTTGACCGTTACAAGTACATTTTAGCGAGTAGACAAATTTGCAGGTCCAGAACCTGCAAATAATGAGGATCAACTGTACTAACTCAGGAGGCTACAAACTAGAGAATTAACCTTGGATTACGTACAAAGTGCTGGTGCTAGGTAAGGATATTCTATGTACGA